TAAGGACCACAGCACCACAGCTTCCGAATGTCTGTACAGGAATACACAAGTCATTTAACAGCTTAGAAACACTTTTTAACTGTTTTTCCACCTTAGGGATTGTAAACTGTTTATCTTTTTGATCTTACACTGGGAAGAAAATTTGTATGCATAATTATGTTTGCATCTCAACTTAAGAAAAAAAATAACCTTGGAAATTTACTAGTTCAAGTAGTATGATCATGTGTATACTTAGATGTGTAGTAACAAACTGCTTTACAAAGTTTTTGAAATTTACTCTTCATCTGAGAATGTTCATTCACCATATACACAAAAATAGATTTTTTGTAAAAAATATTGCCAATCTTAAATATTAAGAATAGTTATGACACTATCTTATTCCATTATTTTTCCAAGTGGGACTGACTTTTATTAAGGCCCTCATTTGAAATTCTGGAATCCTCTCTTTCCTCCATTTCCTATTGTAGGGCTAGACCTTTCATATTAAATTACTAAAATTCCATATAAAAGCATAGGACCTTTGTCTATGGCATCTAGAAACTTTTACATTTTTACATTGTCAAACCTATGAACCTTCCCTCTGTGATTTTACTATTGCTTTTATACTTTTAAAATTATTTCCCATTTCAACATAACTACAAAAGTATTCTCTTTTCATTTTTTAAAAAATAATCTTTATTTTTAAAAACACCTGGAATTAATTTTCTTAACATGAAGATGATTACTTAATACTTGGTCATGTGAGATCACATTAGTCATCTCAAAAACTTGCTTGTCAATAGTTCTAAATCATCTTTTAAAATCACACTATTAGGCCTTCACCATAAACTCCACCCAAAACTCTTAAATTATTATAATAGCATTAAACTAAAAATCAGGAAAAACTGTATAGAAGAATGTTAAACACTCAGGATATTATTACATTTCCTTACCTTATGAAATACCTTCTTTGTTTAGCCAGGCACTGGCTTTCTGATTTAGATTGGAATTTTTTTTTATGTTTGGATTAGAGAAACAGTCTCAATTTTTTTGCTAATTTTTTACTCTTCTTGGTAGTGAGCTATAACCCATATTGAAGGCTGCCATCTTTGATCTTCTGCAGCAAGCATTTCAAGTTCTTCTCACTTTCAGCAAGGCAAAATGTTGATGAGTCCTCTCCTTATCCTGACGCCACCTTTTTCTTTCATAAAGTCGAGCCTCTTGAATGATTTTGCTCAGCATACAGATTGAATAGGTATGGAGAAAGAATACAGCCCTGAAGCACAACTTCTTTGATTTTAAACCATGCAGTATTTGTTCTCTTGCTCTGTTCAGACAACAATTTCTTTCTTGATTTAGGTATAGGTTTCATATGAGTATGATTGGATGCCCTGGGATTCCCTTTCTTCTCAATGTTAACTCTGGCATGATCCATAAAGTCAAATGTCTTTTTGACTGGACATTATACACAAGCAGACATTCTTCTGGTAGGCTCTGCTTTCAGCCAACATCCATCTGACATCAACAATAATATCCTTAGTGGCATGGTCTCTCTTCTAACTCACCTTGATCTTTTAGCAGTTCTATTTCAAGGTATTGTTCTAGACATTTTTTAAATTTCAGCAATATTTTGTTAACATGTAATACTAATGATACTGTTAGATAATAGTCACATTCTGTTGGATCACTTCTGTTAATGTTGTTAGGTGCCACTGAATGGAGTATATATAACTCATAGCAATCCTATGAACAACAGATCTGAACCCTGTCCTATCCTGTGACGTACCTGACCCCATTGCTGCAGTCACTGTGTTAATCCACCTTGTTAAGGGTCTTCTCTCTTTCACCTATTCTCCACTTTTCCAAGCATGATGCTTTTTTCCAAGGAATACTTTCTCCTAACAGCATGCCCAAAGTATATGAGACAAACCATATACTTTGTCTACAAGGAGCATTCTGGCCACAATTTCTCCAAAATGTATGTGTTTCGTTTTGGTGGTCCATGAGATGTTAATACTCATCTCCAACATCACAGCTCAGAGGCATCAACTCTCCTGCATTCCTTATTCATTGCTCAGCTTTCAGATCCATAGGAAATGACTGAAAAGACCATGGCCTGAATCAGTGCTCCTTAATCTTCAAACTGATATCAGTGCTCCTCAATAATTTGGAGGTCCCTTACAACAGACCTGCCTAATGCAATACTGTTCCTGCTGTCCTGCCTGCTAGTACTAAGGATCCAAATATGATGAAATTGTTAACAATTCCTATTTTTTCTCTCTTAATCCTGATGTTGCCTATGAGTACAGTGGTGTGAAGTGATGTCATTTCACAACTTAAAAGGTAAGCCATTCACCATTCTTTAATATGTTGATAATTTTTTATTTCTTGCACATATTTCTTCTATATCAATTATTTCTCATCTGGACTATTTCTGAAGTGGTTTTTTTTAATGTAACTGTTAAAATAACAAAAATCACTATTTTAATCAGATATTCAGCTTCATTATGTCACTTATCTTTTCTCTTGTTGTTACGAACTGTCAAGTCAGAGCTGACCCACAGCTGACCCTCCAGTGGGTTTTTCAGAGGCAGTTAACTGCTCAGGAAGTGATTGCCCATCCTTCTCATGTGGAGCAGCTGCTGGATTTGAAACCATGTTCCTTTGGGATTGAAGTGCAGCTTCATCTATTTTAATTAGATGTTCAGCTTCTTTATTTCACTTATATTTTCTCTTAGCATCATTTATTTGAGATCCCAAAGTCTGAGTTTGTACTATGCACAGTAATCTTTAAGAAGTCATCTGTATTTATTGATTATTTGCCATTTTTTCTAATCTGGTAAACTTTTGATTCTTGTTTTTCCTTTGATTAAGTATCTTAAATCTTGTATCTTTAATCTTAAGTATTTGTCACAGGTCTGCAGTCTTCCCTGTACTCACAAAGATAGTTATTTGATTAATTTATCATATAAAATTTTTCCTGTGGTCCTGCTTATTTTTTTAAAAAAATTTTAAAATTATTTTACCGTATTATTATGTGTGTGTGTGTGTGTACAGTCAAATTGGATCTGACTGATATAGGAGGAGATTGCCCCTCCTTCTCCAGCAGAGTATCTAGAGGATTCGAACTACACACCTCTGGGATTGCAGTGCAGCTTCTTGCCACTAGGCCACCAGAGCTCCCTGGTCCCACTTATTTTCACAATAAATTTCAAGGTGTTTTGTGATGCTTTATCTTTTCAATTCAGTTGTTAATAATAACTTACTGTCTACATATCTTTGAGCAGATAGCCATGCCTTCAATGATTAATTCAAATCCACTATCAAGATCATTATAACCCCACTATGAATAGGAATCAACTCAAAGGTAAGGTATTTGGTTTACTTTTCATTATGCTCTACCAGTATTTTTAGAATTTATTTTGAAAATTTTGTTAATGTTTCAGAAAATACCCTAGTAATTAATTAGATCTGGTCTTGGAAAAACAAACTCTTTAGACTTAGTTTTTTCAGAAAATATTGCTTCAATGTTCTACGTTACATTTTTAATCCTGTGTGAACCAAACACTTCAAAATAACTCTAACTATGTTATAGGGAAGGAACTATAATGCTAGAAACTTTAATTAATAATATAACATAAACAATTTAACCTCATTAAACTCAGAAAAAATATACTTCAAAAGCTGTATGTTTCTTTTAAAGAATGCTATTTTATGGTGAATACCATTATTTGTATTAACTGCTGTTCCATGCATTCTTTTTTATTTTACTATTAATTTCAATGAACATTCACATAGATTTTGGAATTCCATTCATTCATTGTTTCCCCCTTCTCCCCGCACAAACCCCCCCCCCGTTTGCTCCTCTCCTTGAAAAGCAAGAGAAAAACTCCTTCATTGGTACACAATCCCCGTCACACCCCCCCAACCCACCTCCACCCCCACCCCAAGCATACTCCACTCTGCAACCCTGCATTCTTGAAATATGCATTTTTTTCCTTTATCCATCAGATTCCCTGATATCCAGTTACCATAATTTGTCTTGTAAGTTTATTTTGAAATTTTAAGAAATGCTGATTATCTCCATTTTTATTGTGGAATTCATTCAAACATTTTTATGAATGTGTTTTAAAATGTATTTGCCATATTAAGCATGAACAGAGAGGAATGATTTTCTAAAATTTTAGCTCTCATTGGCAAAATCAACTCCTAGCTGACCCTCCAGCAGGTTTTCAGATCCTGTAACCTGCATGGGAGGAGACTGTCTTTCTCTCTTAAAGTGGCTGGTGGACTCAATCTTCCTACCTTTAGATTGGCAGTGTAGCTCCACACCACTAGACCCTCCAAAATCCCTAAATATTTAGATTGGATATCTTTAATTTTTGACTCTGTGATTTACCCATGCCCATAGCATCTCTACTTGTCAAAAAATACACTTACTCTTTAACAGAGAACATCCTACGTACTGGAAGATGCCCCCACAATTTCTATTTTCCTTTCTTAAGTTGGCATTTTCTCTTCTAAAGATTAAAATAAGTATATGAAGGAATTCCTCTCCTCCCATTTTTAAGGCATTCTTACATTAGTTTTTGAGAAAACCTAAAAACTTCGTTGCCATCAAGTTAAATCAATTCATAGCTGACTTTCCAATAGATTTTCCAACATTGTTAACGTCACGGAGGGAGATTATCCATCTTTCTACCAGAAAGCCACCAGTGGATTCTAACGATTCTCTTTTGGGGTGGCGGTGCCATTCCCTACTATTAGGCCACCAAAGCTCCCTAAGCTTTTGAGATTTTCAGATACCTGGGTAAAAAGAAAGGTTAGGGTTTCTTTCCCCAGAAATAAAGACAAATATAATATATTCTCTCTCTTATACATACACACATATGCAGACACAAACCTTGAGTAGAACTATTAGGATAATTTTCAGCAGACAAATAAATGCATATGTCAAATATAACTATCATGACACAGGGAGAGTTGAAAATATTTGAAAACAAAACCTAGGTGCAGCTTACCTGCTTTCCATCCAGTGTGCAGAGCCTCTTGACTACTCCTGAGTCTAGTTTAATGGCTTCGGTGATGTCTGTTAAGACTTGTTCAAAAGAATGAGCAGTCTTTTTATTTAGCAGGATCCGCACAGCTTTTCTGGGCTTCACTCCACTTCTAATGACAGTCACTAATTTGGGTTTGATGAAATCTTTGCTTTCTTTCACTTCGCTTTTCACAGTGGAGGCAGCAGCCAAGGATCGAGATGTCCCACCCTTGATATTCACAGACCAGTTGGGATTAATATTTTTGGTGTAATCAACTTTACGAAATGGCTCGTTGGATGCACACACATAACTCTCACCTAAAAAGTAAAATCAGTTTTATTAGAGTGGTTATGCTGGAGACTGGGCTAAGCAAACTCTTAAATTTATAATAAGTTCACTGAAAAGGGTTTTATGACCTTTATCTCTGACACCCTCCCCACCCTACTCCATTCTTTTTAATAACATCTACACAAGCTTTGTACATAGGGTTTTCAAAGGTCTATTTTTTTTCCTTCTCCCTTGTCTGTCTTAATTTAGGTACTCAGCTTTAGAGCAATATTTGACAGAAAAGTCTTTTACTCAAGAAAGCTGATGAGAATACGCAGGTCCTGGGGGCCCACCCCTTCGGCACATGTACTGTGTCCCCAACCATCTTCCCACCATCTCCCTCCATCGTCTCCCCCCATCATCTCCTCTGGCCCCGGCAATCAACTCAACTCAATAACTGGGGTAATAGGGGTAGGTGTGTCAGAAACAATTAAATTGGCTCAAGATAAATCAGGGTTCAAAACTGGGTTTCATAGGGTCACTATGAATCACAGGCAACTAAACAGCACATAACAACATGCAAGCTTTAAAATGATAATATGAATTCTAACATGAAGAACATTAGTAAGAAAAAGCAGAGTGAAACTTCTAGAGAACTAGAGAGTTCTAATCTGACTAAATGCCACCTTGGACAAGTCACTTCATTCTTTGGTTCTTAAAGAATCACCATTGATATAGTGCAATAGTTGAACCAGGTGACTTCAAAAATACTTCCTAGTTCCAAAAGCCTAATATAATTTCAACTACTTATAAATAAATCCATTTCCTAAATAACATGCTTCTGAAAACTCTATGAACTTTGATAAATGTTGATAGTTGTAGAGGGGTGTAAAAGCCTTTTGTTCATAGGATCGCTGAGTCATGCTCAACTGAATGGCAATCAACTACAACAACAACAACATATAAACATAATACAATTTAAAATATCAATAAGTATATAAAATATATTCACGTAAAGAAATAAAATACACTTTCATTCTCCTTCCATTGACAGATTTCTGTTCTAAATCAAAGAATAATCACATCATCACAAAGTTCTCTAAATTATATTCCATTAAACTTACTCAATTAGTGATATACCAGAAATACAAGAGTCTTAACAGCTCTAAAAATACACTTGGGACATTTTTTTCTTAAAGAAGCAAATTTAATTAGAAAGGCTTAACAAATTTTTATATATCTACTCAAGGTAAAAAGATATTGAGAAGGCAAAAGGAAACTCCTTACTGCAGAGTAACTGATAGTCACTCTATAGGACAAAGCAGAACTTCCCACAGGATGTCCAGAGTTACCCATATCTAGGGAAGCAGCCTGTGACATCTGCCTTTTGTGGGGTGGCTGGCGAGTTCAAACCACCAATTATTAGGTTATCAGCCAAGTACTTAAGGACTGTACTACCAGGTCTCCTCTGAAGGAACCTTAAGAATTAAAATGTATTCATTACTCACGAATCTTCCACTTAATTTTCACTTACAACATGAAAGCAATGTTATTTGCAAGCTGGTTTATCAATTAAATGTTTATTTTTTAAGCTCAAAATTATAAATGGAATTGTTTTTCTCTTAGGAAATTGAGTCATCTAATTCATTGAGTCTTACCTTTTTCATGTACCCTGTAAAATTTTCTTTAAGATAGTCTACCTACAATAATTCCATTATTTTTCATATATTCAATATACCTTTAAAGTAACAATATCATAAGTCTTAAACATGGGGAATGTGTTTTCTCTCTCTTTAGATAAAAAAACCAGTGAAGGGAAAACTCATTAATACTACTATTAAGTTGAACTTTCATCATCGCAATTACATTCAACTATCTAAAGTGCTGATTAATGGAAAATTTAGAGACTGACAAAAGTACATCAGTGAGAAGATCCTAAACAAGTTGGATTGACACAAGATATTTGAACATAGAGATTGTGAGGCTGGAACAGGATAGGATAAAGTTTCCATCTGTTATTCATACGGTTTCTCATCCAGATATACGCACCCACAACCAGAGCCAAAGAAGAAGAAATAGATGATTTCTACCAACTCTTACAGGCAGAGATAGATTGAACATGCAATCAAGATGCATTGATAATAATGGGCGGCTGGAATGCAAAAGCTGGGAACAG